TAAACGAGGAGGAAGGGCAGGTCCGCCGCCGCGACGCGCGCGCGGCCCCGCACGGCGCCGCCGAGCACGGCCGCGAGGGGCAGCGGGCCGTCGTCGCCCCAGCGCGGCAGCGCCCGCGCGTCGCGCGCGCCGTCGCGGCCGCGGACCGAGAGCCGCGGGCAGGCGAGGGGCTTCGACGCGAAGCTCGACCCCGCGGACGACGCGGCGCAGCCCAGCGCCGCCGTGCAGGCGGCGAGCGCGGCGTCGCGGCCGGCCGCGTCGCCGCGCTCCGCGGCGAGGACGACGTACGTCTGCTCCGCGAACGCCTCCGAAAAGGCCGCGAAGCGCAGCCGCGGCACGGCGGTGCCGCAGAGCCGGTGGATCTCGCGCGCGAGGTAGGCGCAGGCGACGGGGCCGTGGGGCTCGCCCGGCGACGGCTTCGCGTGGCGCAGCTGCGCCTCCGCGAGGAGCTCGTCCGGCGACCGGAGGTGGTCCACGTAGCTCCGGCCGTGGATCGCCACGAGCTGGTCCAAGGTCGCCGCCGGCGGCCCGGCGGCGGGCCGCGAGGCGTCGAGCGCGCGCGGCGCGCTGGAGCTCGCGTTCACCATCGCGCAGCGGACGCGGGCGCTGGAAGGCCGCGCTGGGCAGCCCAGCGTGCGAGCCAGCGCGCCAACAGTCGCGCCAACAGGCCGATCTTGATGAAGCCAGCCAGCCCGGGCAAGGGGATATAAATCTAGTAGACCAAGGGCGCGCGCGCGTCTNTGAGGTGCACGGGGCCCACCGTTTCGACGACGAGGTCTGGGAGGTCCACGTCGGCGATCGCCTCCTTGAACCCGTCGAAGGCGGCCATCTCGAAGGCGACAAAGGCCCTGGTAATAGTCAGCTTCTCCTCCCGCGAGAGCTGGTCCGTGACGGAGTGCATCTGGTTCCAGAGCGTCTGCTGCTCGTCGATGATCGTCAACCGTTGCTCGAAGAACGCCTTCGACGCCGCCATGCCGCCGCCCGCAGATTTCGAGGAGGTCATTGCCAAGGCGTCGATGAGGTCCTCGAAGAAGCGGTCCCCGAAGTCCGCCGCGCCCTGGACCGGCTCGTCATCTTTCAGCAGTCGATCGACGACGTCGGCCGCCGCCGTCACGTCCTTGAGCATCGACTTCGCGTCGGCGAGGGCGGCTGCTGTGAGGTCCCGCAGGCAGCCGATGCGCGCGGCGATGCGCTGCTTGAGGTCCTCGCGCGACGCCTACGATGCAGTCGATGAGATCATGGCCCCGCGACGACGCGGCGCCGGGAAAACACGTCGAGCGTGAGCGCGACGGCGGCCGGGTTCTTCGCCTTCTTCCACGAGGTGAGCTGCCTCGAGACCTGCGTGCGCACGAGCTCGATCTCCGTGATGAACTTGTCGAGCTTCTCGTCGACGCCCTCCCTCGGTAGGTTCGAGCTGCGCCAGCCCACGTAGTTCTCGTCGAAGAACTTCCAGAGGCGGCGCTTCTGGGACGCGTCGATCGGCCGCCTGTGGCCCGGCACGTCGGCGTCGGCCGCGGGCGGCGCGTCCGCTACGGGGGGCCCCTCTACGCCGGGCGCGCCCTCCTGGCCCTCCATTGCGTCCGGGCAGCCCGCGGCACCTTCCCCCGCGATCTCATGGTTGCAGTACGAGGACCTCGCGCGGCAATATCTCGTTGAGCTGCCACCCCATACTATTTATTACCCCTTGGCCCGGGCTCCGGGGGAGGACGATGGCGCAGTCGGCGTGAGGGGCCTTGGCCGCGCGCTCACCGTCGTGTGTTCGACGCCCTTTACGCGGGAGCAATGACTTCGATGCGAGGGCTTTTCCACGTGTGCCTCGCCGCGCTCGTCGCCCGCGGCGCCGCGCACTGGGAAGCGCCCTCTGACGAAATGCTGCGACACTGGCGGCAGGAGGTCGACCTCGCTCTGTCCGAAGGTCGCATCGAGACAAACCTCGGCTTTGGCCAAACGCCACTCGACATCGCCTGCCTAAGCGGCTACGACTACGGCGTGCGTAAGCTGCTGGACGCGGGCGCTAACATCCACAAGCGAACGCATCAAGGTGAGACGTTCCTCCAGTGGCAGTCACCGCTCCACGTCGCAGCGGCCTTAGGACACGCAAAAATTGTGTCGATGCTAATCAACGAAGGCGCAGACGTCGATGCCTCGGACGGCGGTATGTCGCCTACGCCGCTCTTCTACGCCGCGGGGGCAGGACACGTCGCCGTCGTGAAGACGCTGCTTGCCCACGGCGCTCTGCTTACCTGGGAAGACCCGCTGCAGGACGGGGCGACGGCGCTCCACGTCGCCGCGGCCTTGGGACACGCAAAAATTGTGTCGATGCTGCTCAACGAAGGTGCGGACGTCGATGCCTCGGCCGGCGGTATGTCGCCTACGCCGCTCTTCCTCGCCGTTGAAGCAGGCCGCGTCGCCGTCGTGAAGACGCTGCTTGCCCACGGCGCTTCGCTTACCTGGGAAGACCTGCAGGACTGGGCGACGGCGCTCGACCTTACCCCATCCAACCCGGTCCTGAATTCCAAGGAGATCTACAACCTTCTGCTCAGCCGCGTCAACCTGGAGGCGGCAGGCGAGTCTGCGGAGTTACCGTCGAAATCGGAAGAGTTCTCTGCGGAAGATCTGAGAGCATGGGGCGGCTACGACACGTCCAGCGAGTCCATTGCAGAGACCATTCAAAAGCACTTTTCAACGTTCATTCTTCTCTTTTCCAAGTTCTTCTTTTTGTTCTTTTTGACCTTGTTCCTGTACAATGTCATGATTTATATTGCCGGCATGGTGGGTACGACAAAGACTGATCAAACCAAAGCCCGCGCCAACGCCCGCGCCCGCACCCGCGCCCGCGCCCGCGCCCGCGCACCCGCACCCGCGCCCGAGCCTGAGCCAGAGCCCGAGCAAGCGGAGC